GAATGTGGCGGAATTATATAAGTGTCAGCCGCATGGATAGAATATCCCGAATCTTCATGAATTTCAGGCTCAATGTCCGCGAATGGTAAGGAGTCCTGTACAATCTTTTCCGTTTCAAATGTTGTATCATGATTACTAGTATCTATTTCATGCGTGTTAGATGTATTAAACAGTACCAAATTATCGCGAGCAATTTTGAGATAGCCGGAATTAAAATCTATAACTCAATCAAAACGTTCAAGAAAATCCTTTCCCAAAATAGCCATATAATGTAATTTAGGTAAAACGCATCAGTATTTTGACCGTATAAGTAGCATTTCCTAGCGACAATTCAAGATTGACGTCGCCTAAAACCTGAACAATTTCTCCGCTTGCAGTTTGCGCTGTTTGATATTGTCCTTCTGTAGTTCGCAAGAACGAATTAGAATTTTCGCGAACTTTGTCCCAAACGGAAATCGACTTGGTTAATTACCGTAATTGCAGAACATGTGTCAATCATAATGTTAGCATCAATACCTCCAATTTTCCCACTAACGGTTAAGTAAAATGTTTTTCGAAGGTCCGGATGAAAGACTATATATCACTTAAGGTAGAACGTTTTCGTGGAAAAAGAAAACAGGGTTCATTTAGATTGGGTGTATAACATAGAACCACAAAATGGCGGATTTATAAGGGCATTTTGGTTGGTCCCAGACTCCTGAGGGGGGAATTTCGCGCGGTTGCAGTGAGTGCGAATTGTAGTGATGGGCAATATCACCAGTATCGGTTTCGATACGATACAGATTACTTTTTGGTTAAAGTATCGAGGTATCGATTACCCAAACGATTACTTCCTCCAATTTTCAAAAAGTTACATATTTTTAACAGTAACAATTTGAGCCGCCATTTTAATCCATAAAAAAATAAAAATTACTTTATTTCCCGCCTTTTTCATAAATTATTCTACTCGGCGAGAATAGAATGTCAAATAAAGTATAAAAAAAGTTTGATTAAATTGTTAAATGCAGCAAAATACCAAAAAGTACATAAATGTTATTAGAAATAACCATGAAAATGATGATACAACTGCAGGATTATAATGGATGTCTAATTTTAAAAGTAATCGAAACACTTTTTCGATACCGTGCAGTATCGACTACTTCCTGTTTGGGCCTGGTATCGATACCACAGAATACTAGTATCACAGTTTAATGATTATCATGATTATCATTTAATGAATATCATTAAAGGGCCGACCATTTAACTTTTGAGGGGGGGGGGTGATTTTGAAAAAAAATTTCCTGCAAGGCTATTCTGGACAAAAAAAAATACCTGCACTAACAAACTGGGGAAAAAAATATCCTGCCCCAGTATTTGGTGGGAAAAAAAATGTTGCAAAACAGCATGGTTGCAGGGATCGATTTGACCAGTCCCAGAAGATCAGCTGGTTTGATTTTCAGGGACTGGTGTAAGGTTAATTTCTTGTTGGAAAACTCCTCAAAATGCTGGAAATAGCTTATCTGAGCTTCAAAAAGTCCAAAATTTTCTGGGGGGGCATGCCCCCAGACCCCTCTAGAGGCTCACACCTTCGGTGGTCGACTCAGTTGTTGCTGCCCTATGACGTATACTTATTAGTTAAACCATGCATATATATGCTGTAGGTAGCTGCAGTGATACAGACAGGGCTGTAGCAAGGGGGGTACTGGGGGTGGTTAACCCCCCCCAACTTTTTTAGAATCAACATATTCAGAAAATCGGGTTGGCCATCGGCAATTATTTAATAGTAGAACAAAATTTTAGTTGTTAAACAGAGAAAATATTATAAAATTGTATTGTCACTATAAATTGTAAGCAAATTGTAAATTTCGTCATACTAAAACGCTTTTTTCTGACCATCAGCATTCTGTCAAAACTTTCCCAAAGTCCAGGAAATGGCATTTCTGAGACTCGAAATTTAAAATTTTCGTTTTCTGCCCCCAATAAACAAAAGCTCCCTACGACACTGCTTCTGTAATATGTCTGTGCATAAATTATGCATAAATTACTTTTGTTAATTGTAAATTGCATCTTCATTTTCCGAGTAGCAAACACCTTCATGGCTAATAGTATGCCATGATATATTCGGAAATTATTTTCATCATTCGGAAACTTTTGGCCTACACCCCCCCCCCAACTATACATGCTAGCTACGGCCCTGGATACAGACTTGCTGACTGGAACTTCTCCAGGTCCCCCGGTAATTATGTCCTCTCCAGTTGCACATCCTTAAAAAAGGCACTGAACCAAATGTTATACCTCATAGCAAAATGTATTATTAAGAGCAATGCATGAAGCTAAAAAACTCAACGTTAACTATAATCTAAATAGTATAAGCTATTGAAAAAAAAAATGCTGCGAAAGAAAGTGTGGCAAAAAAAAAATCGTACATGGTGATGGTGATAAAAAAAATATCTTGCACATAACGATCCCAGAAAAAAAATTCCCTGCCAGCAGTAAATCACCCCCCCCCCCCCAAAGTTAAATGGTCGGCCCCTTATAAAGTTGTGTGGATTATTGTTTGTAAACACCTGGAAATTTATACTAAAACAATTAGTCGCCTCAGGCTCGGTGATTACAAGCTATATTCACTTTGCCTTCGGCTCAGTGAATATAGGCTTGTAATCACCTCGCCTTCGGCGACGGGATTTTTCGCTTTTCAACCAATCAGCGCAGGCGTTATTAAAAGGTTATTTTATAATAATGTATAACCAATTTAATATTTTATATATAAAAGCATTATAAACTAGACACATACCTTGTTGTTGTGCAAAACTGCAAAAATTGGTCAAAGACAAATCCGGCTGACAAATCCCCGACCTCCACTGGCAAAAAATGCAGTCAAATACCATAAAATTCCCCACATTGCCCCACTAGGTCCCGGGGAAGGGGGGTTCGAGGTGTCAATTGATAGGTGCATTATGCACTCGCGTGTGCAGTAATTTTGTCAGTTGTGCTATTTTAAATTCCCAGGGGCCTAAAATCTTTTATGCTTAAGAATTGCGCAGTGGATTTCTTAGGAAATATAATTCCGACGTTGCGTTTTTTTTGTACACCCTGTATGTTAAAACTGCATAAATTGTACATGGAAATTCTAATTGAAAGTTAAAACGACTTAGAAATTAGTCAGTTGACTCAGTTCGATTAAAAATGGTTCAACTTACTACAGAGCAAAGAGTTTTTACAGTTTTACGCGCTGCGTTAAATTGATCAGCGCATCGATTGTGTTCATGAACCCATTGGTTCAGTTATAGGGACTCAGGCATTCAAATTATAGCAATACGGTCAAAGTCAAATCCCCACCCTGGCCCGGGGTGTGGGGGGAGTCGGGGATTACATTGACTCATGCATAAACATGTTGACAATTTCAATTTTCATTCCGGTTTGACTTCATCCTGGTCTCATGTAAACGGGGCCTAAAGACGAATTTCCATTCAGTGCAAAATGTCGCGCGCTCGATATTTTGAGATCACTTTCTTTTGAAATACAAGCAATCAAACACAATGGACGAGGTTGACTGAACACATTTCAAAAGAAAGTGACCGCAAAAAGTTGATCTCGCGACGTTTTGCACTGAATGGAAATCGGGGTGTAACACCCCCAAAGAAAAATAAAAAAAGGGTGCCCAACTTGCCCAGAGGAAGCCCCGGAATGCTGGAATTGCAGAACGTGTTAAATAATGATTTTTTTAAAAAATTGAGGTCTAAAAAGGTGTGAAAAAGTATTCTTAACCCCCATTATCTCAAACTAGTGTTTGGCAAAAATTTTGGGACGTTTTGTTCGCCACGTTTTCCGGAAAAATCTTTACTTTCCGGAAAATTTTTTTGAGGGGGCCCCCGGAATGTAAGGGCGGACAAATTTTTTAATTCATTCCCCCCCTCCCCCCTCCCCAACCAGATACCGCTCGGAACGGCCCTGATCACTTTTCCTCCATCATACACATGCGATTTCTACTTTCGCGCGGGCAACGCAATGGAATTTGACCTGTTGCGTTGCTGGCGCGAGAAAAAATCGCTTCAAAGGTCGTAGGTTCGATTCCCACCGTGGCCAAACATATTTGTCAAGCCTGCCCGGTATGGATATACACTCAGAGTAACATCATACAAGCATCTTATTCACCTGAGTACATTACACCAACACAGCAAAGAATCTATTATTTATACATCACGTTTAGACATATATAAACAACGAAGAACGAATATCATTGATAGAAAATAACCTATTTACTTGTTGAAAAATACTTGCAAAATGTATTTTGATAATGGTATAAAAACCTATGCACCGAAACAAAACTTATTCTCTAATTCACAAGCTTCTAAGATCATGTCAAACAATAGATAACTACTTAAATAATTCTTAGTGTAAATTTCCACTCCTATTGGTCGAGTGGTCTGTTGTTTCCAGTCCACCAAATATTATCTACGTTCTAGGCGAATGCTCGGGACAGAATACGCGATTTCCCGCGCTGTAGAAGCCTGTGGTTTCAAGGACAATTCCACAAGTCTGATAAAAAAAGAATGACACATTTTACACGACCGTAATTGGGGGGGGGGGGGGGTGTAATTGGATATCAGTTATACATAGATAGATCGTGACACAAAACTTAAAGGTGCTCTACAGTCCGATCTGCGCATGTGCACAAAGGAGCCCACTTTTTATGATACAAACAGTTTAACTATGTTTTTGGTTCTTGAAAAGCCCGATTGTTGTTTCTTGATCATTTATTATACTCTAGAAGCTTGAAAATATAAATAGTTGTCGAATAAAGCTCAATATTTTGGACACAAATATGTAAACAAAGGCTTTGTTTACATACGGACTGTAGGGCACCTTTAAGTATCTTCTTAAAGTTGTCACTAATATTCAAGTGGTTAGGCAGCTTATCAGTAAAACATTTTGTAAGCTGCCAATTCCAAATTGCCGTTTCGTCATTTGCCGGCTATAAAGCCCCGGTAAATGCCAGGGGCGGGGGAATACGGGGGTATAGTCATCACAGAAGTAAAAGTGAGTTGGCTAACTCCCCCCCCCC